GATCCATCGTTAGGCTGATGGTCCTCCTTCATCACGTGAGCACTAACAATCCATCGTTAGGCTGATGGTCCTCCTTTATCACGGGATGAGCTGGTTTTGTCTGTCAGCAGTGAACTGGTTGATCCACTATGAGAAGGTGCTATTTATACTGCAGCTCCTCAGACTGACAAAGTCCTATGGATTGAAGATGAAACGTTTCAACAAGTTAACTTTGTTAGATTCTTCTATCTGGATTATTGAGCATGCACCAGGATGGTTTCTTTTTTTCTTTTTTAGGTATTTACATTTTTGAAACTGATCCTTTGCTGTTCAAAATGTTTGCGTCAGTTTCTCGTTTTTCTTTTACATCTCTTGGATGTGTTTGTGCGACGGGCTATTTGTTTCTGACCACTGGGTGCAGACTTGTATTTTACGCCTTTCAAACTGATGTGTTTGCAGTGTAACAAAAAAGTGGGTAAAATATGTATTTGTGGCAAGCTGATGATCGTAACATGCTCGAAGATCAAATTTAAAATGTTTCTGCTTTCACGCGTTAGCGCAACACTAGTTCATCCCTTGAGTTAGATGTTTTTGTTAGAGGTCAGCATTTAATAAGCCTAAAAAAAGAAGCCCTGTCAGATACAAGGGCTGATAATGAGCAAAAAAATGCAAGCAATGTTCTCCCAAAAAGTTTGGAAAATCTCCACAACGCTGGAGAATAAACATCTGATGTAATGGAAGCAAAATATGATTCATAGAAGAGATATTGTCCAAGGAACTGAAGTGGTTCTGTCCGTCCTTGACGTCATTTATTCCAGTTTAAAGCTGGAGTATCAGAAGTCAACCAATAAATCTCAGCCCTAATAGAAAGTTTCCCATCAAGAAGTGATATAGTGCTTCGAAGTTATGCTGGAATAAATAATCTGCTGATGGCTCGTCTTGGATTAATTTGTCAGATATTTCAAACCCTAAAGTCGTCACCATAAACTTTTAACACTTTTCAGACTCTTCCTGGTTTTGTCTCGGAGGAGTTCAATCCGCTTCATGTTTGTGCCCTGCAGGTTCAGCTGCAGCGGTGCGTTTAATGTCCACACAGACGGTAAACGCAGCTGAAAGGCTTAGCTGAGTTTTGACCCCGGGGTGATTTCAGGCCGAGCTTTGTTTGGTTTCTGTTTGGGATCAGTGACGGAGCTGCTGACCTGTCAGTCACGTCACGATGTTGACGTGAGGAAACCATGCGTGACTAAACGACACATGCTTACTCTTAAGAAATGGAAGTTTAAGCACATGTTTTCTTACTCATGTTTTATTCTCTTCCAGTGATTTTGATTCTCTGAGGAAGGAAAATGTCTATGACAACAACAAACTGGTAGGACATGTTGTTTTTTTTCTATGATTGACATGCATTTCTGTTAATAGCTCAAGCATTTCCTCTTCTCTTTTTATATCTACATGGATCTCAGCAAGTACAGCTGTAAGGAAAATAATGGAGGGTTGCTTTGTGAAGACTTGTTGGATGAAACGATCTCTTTTCTAAAAGATAGCCTGATGTTTTTGTATGGAGAATAATAACAACATTGCAACTCCAAGACTACAATTTGAATAATCCAAAAAGAAGTTCTTAGTTTGGCTTCTTTTACTTTTGTTTCACTAAGTTTAATCAGAAAATAATAGTGGTCCCTCGCTACTTGGCAGTTCGTTTTTCTCGGACTCGCTCTATCGCGGTTTTTCAAAATAATATTGGACATGACACATAATTGGCTGATAGATGGATGAGCCGCACAATCCGCATGGATTTAAAATGGTTTTTTTTTTTTTTTTTTAAGAAAAAGAAGAAAGGAGAGTAAATAAATAAATAAATAAATAAAAGAGAAATAGATAAAACGAGACCACCATGACAAAACAACATGCACAGCACAATGCCACCCACAATATCACCACGAAACATTCGACATCGCACAAGGAATCATCTAGCTTCCACCACTACCCAACCTAGCGTGCATCTGTCAAAGCACCTGAATCCAAACACCCGCGCAAGCACGCCCGCCACCACCAGATTTTTCCAAAAGAATGCCCAATAGTGGACGCGGGGGCCCACAGACCCGCCCCCCCAGGACACAATGGCAACATAGGGAGGACCGGAGCCACAGACACACAGCGGCCCACAGGCCCGGAGCCCCAGGAGTCTCCCAACAGGGAGAACCGCACCCCCCCAGAGAGGAGCAGAGGAAAGAACCGGGTGACCCCAGCCCCCACAATGCAGAGCCTCCAGGAAGCTGCAGCGACGAGCCCACAGGTCCGGCCGGCAACCCATGCCCCCCCCCCCAAGTAGATCCGGCCATGGACACCGAGCCCCAAGCCCCGAGGCCATACCACCCCCCAGCAGAGCCCCGATGGAGCCAGGGCACCTAGGCCCCGCCAGGCAGCAACAGGGCGGACCGACGTACACCCCACCACCCAGCCCAGACGGCGAGAGCCACCAATGCACCGGCGGCAAGGGGGCCCCCCGCCAAAGGGGGGCACGACCGGGGGGAGTGGGCCCCACACCAAACGCGGGGCCCAAATTGATCTAAGAGAGGGGGACCACCAAAAACCCAACCTGAGCAACCAACAGGCACACACAGATAGCCCGACAGAATCTCTGTCGGGCCGACCGCATGCACAATCTACCTGACAGCGACCACAGGCCGGCCCCAGCCCAAGGGGCAGAGCAGCAGGGAGCTGCAGCTGAGGAGGGCCGGCTCTCACATCAAGAGCTCCGCACCATAGGCCCGGAGACGCCCCAGCACACCACCTACGCACCCCCCACACACACAGCACCCCCACCGCAAATGCCACACAGGAAGACCAGCCAGTGCCCTGATGAGGCGAAGCCACGCCCCCAACCGCCGCCCTACACCACCAATGACCACACGTACACTACCATAGCCGACCCCCCGCCGAAAGCCGGCAGCCACCCCGGTCAAAGTGCCGGCCATCACAACCAGGAACCTAGATTAAAAGAATCGGAACAGCCCAGGAGGAACCGAAGCGCCGGCCCCGATTTAAAAATTTTAAATAAAGTACTTTAAATGGTTTAGCACCTGTGTGCAGCCCACAGCTGTGGGAGAAGGTTCCTCCTGCAGCTGATCAGCTGATCTTGTGCAAAGCGGAGAAGTGGGCGTGGCCGAGAGTACAGCCGGAGGCAGAGAGCTGAAATCATGACTTTCTGTGCTCTTTTAGAGCGTGTATAGTAGTACAAGTAGTAAGTACTAGTTTATTTATATATTTAGGCATCTTAAACCCTTCCCACATTCTTGCAATATTCTAAACAATGTTTCTAAACTCTAAACGCTCTAAAAGAGCCACAGAATGTCATGATTTCAGCTCCCTGCCTCCTCTGCTCTTTGCCACATGCAAGCGTTCTTGGCCACGCCCACTTCTCCGCTCTGGACTGAGCTGCAGCAGGAAGCTTATCCTGCAGTGTGGGCCGCACAAAGGTGCAAGAGGTGCGAAATAATTTAAAATAATTTATTTTAAATAAAAATTCCATGCCTATCGTGCGGCTCATCCGACAATAAGTATGGCATGTCCAATCTTATTTTGAAAAACCGTGATAGAGTAAAATATATATAATATACATATACAAAATATATATTTTCTTTTGGCTTTATGAATTATGATACTGGTCCAGAATATCAACAGCAACATTTAATTTGTTAGAGATTGATTGATCCACTATAACGAACTTAAAATAAAGTTGTTGTTTTCCCTCTGGCTCAAAATGTTCTGTTTTGAACACATGACCTCAAAGACTGAGGCTGTTTTCCATCTGTTTAAACTATATTTCACTTCTTCCTGTCAAACATTAGAGAGCACTAACTGCACTAATGCAGCACCTTAGCATTCCTGTTTTGCTTGACCTCCCAGTTTCTCCTCAGGTCCTCAAGTTAAGGGACTTTTACTTTGATTTTTGGTGCGTTTTCTTCTTCTTTGTTATAATTTGACAGGAGCGTAGATTAGCATTGAAAAAATGTGTTATGTAAAATGTTATTAAAACAGAATGGTTTGCTATTACATTAATTCACATTTTATCTGCAGTGGAACATACCAATCTTCAATTGTTTGACGTAAGAATTGTGCATTTTTTTAAAAGAAAACAAAGCAGGTCATTTTGACTTTTTTTTTTTTGGAAGCAACACATCTCAAAAAGATGGAACAGGAGCAACAAAGGCTGTAAAAGTAAATGGTAAGAATATGAAACGGCTGAAGGAGCATTTTGCAATAAATTAGATGGCTATAAGAGGACTGGGCACTTTAAAGAGGTGCTAATAAGTGAAGATGGGCAGAGGTTCACCAGTCTGAGGTTAAATCCTATTATCTAAAGTTTATAATATCATCAAAAAGATTTCATGAATCTGGAGAAATCTCTGCTGTAAGGACAAGACTGAAAGTCTGTATCAGATCCACCTGATCTTCACATCCTCAGGTGCCACAAACCAGGTCTGATTTATTTCTGTGTGAACTCAGAAACATTTTCACAACCGTTATCTATAAATACAGTTTACTGTGTCATCCAAAAATGATGGCTAAAGCTCTATCATGCAAAAAAGAGGCCATATGTGAACACCATCCAGAGACACTGCTGTCTTCTCTGGACCAAAACTAATTTTAAACACCTGGTGGACTGAGGGAAAGTGGAAAACTGCTCTGTGGTCAGACAAATCAAGATGCGAAATTTATTTTGTAAACCACGAGCACCAGCCTGCCTCTCTAATGGTATGGGGGTGCATTAGCTTTGTCAATGGACATCTTACACCTCTGGAAATGCTCCATAAGTGCAGACAAGTTTACACGGGTTTAAAATTACATTTGCTCCCACCCAAACAATACCTTTTCTTAGGGAAGTCCTTGCATGTTTCAGCAAGACTGCATTCATTATAACAGCATGGCTTCGTAGTTGGAGACTTCGGGTGCTCAACTGACCTTCCTGCAGTCCAGACCTTTCCTCAGTAGAAACATCTGATATATCATTAAACAAAAAATATCCAGCAAAGAAGACCCAGGATTGTTAAACGGCTACAGTCCTGCATCAGACAAGAATAGGACATTTGCCTCCTCAAACTCCACCAGCTTGTCTCCTCAGGTCCTAGACATTTCCAGACTTTAGTTGAAAGAAGACGGGATGCTTCATAGAGGTTAACGTGGCTCTATCCCAACTTTTTTGAAATGTGTTGCGTTTTATAAAAATCCAAATTATTTTTTTCCCCAAACTGCAATTTATAGGTTTGAACATTTTACATGTTTACTGTGCTCTGTTATGAATAAAATATGGATTTGAGAATTGTAATAGGGGTTTTAAACAGTAAAACTTTAAGACTTAAATGTTGTTTGGCAAAGGAACAAATAATTGTACTACTGGTAAGTTTAGGTTTATTTGTCATATGCAGATCAATACGTCAACAATGCAATGAAATGCCCAGGATGAGAAGAACCATCTTGACTGGTCAAAAACCAACAACAACAACAACAACAAGAAATAGCAAAGCATGCAACAAAAATACAAAAAAAGACACCAAAAGTGAAAAAGAACTACATCTACAGCAGCATGGTACTTACTGTTAGCAGTGTGGTTCTGTAAGCAGCAAGGCACTGTTAACAGCATGGTCCTGACTCCTGTTAGCAGCATGGTACTGTTAGCAGCGTGGTTCTGTTAGCAGCATGGTACTGTTAGCAGCATGGTACTGTTAGCAGCGTGGTTCTGTTAGCAGCGTGGTACTGTTAGCAGCGTGGTTCTGTTAGCAGCATGGTACTGTTAGCAGCATGGTACTGTTAGCAGCGTGGTACTGTTAGCAGCATGGTTCTGTTAGCAGCATGGTACTGTTAGCAGTGTGGTACTGTTAGCAGCGTGGTACTGTTAGCAGCGTGGTTCTGTTAGCAGCGTGGT